CAATATGCTACTAGAGTCTAACTATCTGTAAAAGGAAAAGATTTCTTTGTTCTGAAACAATATGCTACTAGAGTCTAACTATCTGTAAAAGGAAAAGATTTCTTTGTTCTGAAACAATATGCTACTAGAGTCTAACTATCTGTAAAAGGAAAAGATTTCTTGGTACTGAAACAATATCGCAGAAGGGAAATCTGCGATTAGTTTTACTGAATGCATCTAATGGAAGCAGTATGCATAGCCTATACAACCTATGACGAAAGACACTCATCATCATGGTCCTCACGCTTTGCAATGCATTACGAACGCGTACTTCAACATAGCATCCTGGCTTCTTTGATGTATAAAAAAATGACAAACGGCATATGTCACTCAGGCCACAAAGGGTTAAACCTACCTTCCAGAATCGGTAGACATATCGAAGACTTGGTAATTGAAGCAACAGATCTGCTTGTCTGAGTTGTACGGAGTGTAGAAACCACAGCATTCGTTGAAACCATCCGCTCTTTTAGCCAGCCGGGTGGCGCAGCAGATTTCTTCGTTTGGGTCGTACACTGTGTCCCCACACAACAGTTTGCCTTTTTCTACTTTAACAACGCCTCGCACGGTGCAAATCTCATTCTCGGAAGTGCAAAATGTCGACATTTTCCCATCAGAGATACAGCAATCGTCATCATCTGGCTTTCCTTTGGGACAAGGAGTGTTGTTTTTACAGCACAACTCTTCTCCCTCAATCAACGGTCTTCCGTTGCAGCACGACATATTTTTGTTGATGATGCTGAAATAAGCACCTGCAGAGGAACAAATTCCAAAGCTTACTTTAACAAGGACACGTTCATATTACACATAACTCATAAAGCAGTCAGATAAACTAGTTTGTAAAACGATACAATTCAAAAGTCTGTAGCACACTGATGGACAAACTGCACAAGCTACAGACAACAGCAGCAAACAGAAAGTTCACAGTTGTTTCTGGAAACATTGAAATTAGCAAAAGGAAATTTACTGTAAAGATTGATGACTTTATTCCAAAGTTGGATAACCTCTTTAACATCCACATTTTTAAAACAGAAATGGTTCAACTTTCCTGCCGATTCAAATGTCATGATGATATAAAATGCTGCAAAGAAAAGTCTTCCTCATTCCTTGTTTTACTCACACATATGAGAAAAAATTACCACCAATCTAGTCTTTATGAAAATTATCGGTACTTAAATTTTTATTATGTTGATTTACCTTCGCAACATGCTTCAGTTTCATTATTATAAACTATAGCATTGGCACAGCAAGACCTTTGCTTAGTGTCATACAGATGTCTTCCGCACATTGCTTTATTCTCTTCTTTCTCCCTTGCGGTGCCATCGATGCAAAATTGACTTGTCGTGTTGTAATAACCTATGGAAAAAAAATCAAATGTACTTTTTATTGCATGGGGAGAGAGAGATGGGTGGAGAGAGAGAGAGAGAGAGAGAGAGAGAGAGAGAGAGAGAGAGAGAGAGAGAGAGAGAGAGAGAGAGAGAGTGGGGGGGGGGAGTATGCTAGCAAGCAGACTCTAGCGAATGACAGAAGATTTTTTTAAAGTTTAATCTTAGTTGGTGACCCACATTGGGGTCAAAAGGCATTATATAATATCCTTCACCTTGAAGTGTGGGTTAGCCCTATCCGTATGCCCTGGGGTCATTTTGTACCCCCGGGGTTGTATTTTTCACATTTTAGAATACTTCTAGTACGAAGACCTCTTTGATACTTTCAGTATTTCTCAAAATATCATTTCAACAGACTGCTATGCAAAGCGTACGCATTGGATCAACGAATAGATTTCCTCTTTGGAAAGTGATGGCACAGAGTTCCCCACCTCATATGGATATGATGGTAAAACACGACGTACGGATAGGGTTAGTATTTGAAAGTAACTTAATCTTTTTACACGCCTACATGTGGTCATAGTTTTCAGAGAAATTATGAAATCCTTGTCCTTAACCTGAGTGTAGTCACTAAATAGCAAGAAGTCATAGGTATGCACTGGGTGCTTGGTATTCCTTACAGCAGGCCTTGGGGCCACACTCTTCGGCTCAGTGTCATCTTACAAGGAACAGAAGTCGTCAGTAGATCCTTTTCAGAAGCATGGGTTGTTGTTTGGAGCAAGAACAAGAAGAACTTTTACTTATAAATTAGGACACTTTGCTCAAAAGAAGGGCAAGGAGAAATCTCCCCGAGTGCATGTTGCGCACGTTAAAGATCCCTTGGTGGTCTAAAATCGAGAAGAGTAGGCTTCGACCGCCACCCGGGCAAAATTCAAAATTTCCTACCAACTGAAAATGTTTAATGTGTCCCGTGCGCTCGCATGACCTTATGCAGTTGCGAACGCTGTAAAACACTTTTTTTTTTCTTTTTTTTTAAAGTGAAAAAGGGAGAAATTTCGGTAGAAATTTAAAAGTTTGAGAGACCATCAAGTTGTTTGCCTTCCACACTTGGCCTAGTTAGGCTGTAGATGAACGGGTCATCATACTGCGGATACTTTCACATAAAGTAACAAATTTGTTGTCTCCATCGACACAATTTCAAAAATGCAGGCTTCCTATCCTGTCTGTCGCAGAAATCATAAAGACTGAGATACTCAATATTAATTTCTCCCCACTCAGGAATTGAACTTTGATCTCACGTGTGCAAGAGCGGAGCACCTAGCTTCTACACTGCAGAAGTCATTTTACAAAAAATGACGCACTGAGAATCTTTTGATTATATTTTAAAAAATTCTCAAACTACTAAGTCTCATAGAGTCAGGAGAAACCTTTTATAACAAGTTACTGAGACAACCATCTTCATCTTAAATGAAGGCAATAAAAATGTATGCATTCAGCCTAAATAGTTGTTCTGATAAGGTAAATGACAGAATATAACTTCAACACAGTAAGCGAAATTTGAAATTAAAGAACATAATGTTGGCCAGCTGTTAAGATGTACTGGGCCCAAAATTGCGATTTTAAAAAAAATTGCATTTCCTTAATCTGCGGTATGGATTGCTTGTGCTCACAAAACATTTAATCGAAATTGAAATTCTGTTTCTTTGTTTTAGTGAGGTTTTACGGCTCTCGCAACTGCATTAGGTCACATATGAGCGCCAAATTAAAATTCTGAAGGTTGATAAAAGCAAGAAAAAAAAACCATAATGTAAGTACAATTGTTGAAAGAACGAAACATTTTTTTTCTCTCTCCTGTAAAATTTTGCTTTCTAGGCTCATTGTAACAATTTGCCAGCGATAAAAAAAATCCAGTCGTTGTTGTTATCAATCCAGTGTTGTTGTTATCGATCCAGAAACATCTCTTCAATTCTTACCATTTCCACAGCAGAACAACTCCTCATTCTTGGGTATGGTGTGATTTGCAGGGCAACAGTACTTCTCCTTCCTGTTGTAAGCCTTTAAGTCACAGCAAGCAAAGTCGTACGGCTCAGAACTGACGGTTGGAAAATTGTTCAGTTTTCCTGCAATGTCCACAAGAAAGGTGATATTACGTACAGACGCAAACTCTCTATAACGATATCGTCGAGACCAGAAAAAAACAGGCGTTATAGAGAGTTGTCGTTATAGAGAGGAAACCAAAAATATTACTAATGATATATATGTAAGGAAAAAATCTGAACCCTGGAACCATGTCAATATACGGAGGATGGCGTTATATTAAAGTTCGTTATAGAAAGGCTGCACTGTATCTCTCATAGTCAAACAAGACATCAGGAGATAGGAAAAAAGCACATTTCACATTTATTTTCCTTGAACATTAAGTAGCAGATAAACTGAAGACCGTACAACTAGTAAATTCTACATTCTGCGTAACAGCCATCTGCTGATATTGACAATTGAACTGTTACAGCAGATGGCCACCTAACATTGTTGACACCATATATATAATCATTATAATGACACCAGGAACATATAAGAATGAAAAATATTTATTTCCTTGACATATTCTCATTTATGTACTAAAAAGTGCAGGGTAAGCTTTCTCAGGATAATAAGGCCTTTAAGTAAACAAAAAAAGGAACACACAAACCTAAACCTCCAATTCTTGTCATATGAGCAAAATCTTTTCAAATGTGGGAAGAGAAGTATGTCTATTTTCATCTTTTCATCAAGACAAAACATTTGATCTGACATGAATAAATGATATATGGAAACTTCCTGTTATTAATTTATAGAAACAGTAAACGCAAGCATACTATCTTTCTACAACATATAATAACAATAAGAAATTAAATAGAATTTCATTAGTCATCTTTTGCTTTATTTTCGCTTCCATTCTTTGATTTCAGTCTCTGAAATTTTTGCTTTAGCGTTATCCCAATGCAGGGTGCACTTTAAAATCAAAAGTCCTTTACCATGGCAACAACTCTTCTCCCTGTAGCTGTAGATCTGAGACCTGCAAACCCCTTGTGATGTCAAGATGAGAGTTTCCTTATCATCAATGAGTTCACATTTCTTTTCAGAATCCAAATATGGTTCTCCGTTGCAGCACGAGCGTCCCTCGCTTATAAAGAAACCAACACCACCACAGCAAATCTTTTCCCAGATGTTGACAACAACTGTTTCGCTACAGCAAAGAAGGTTGTCTTTGTCTATTTCTGAAAAACAAAAGTGAGGGAATCTGTAAACCTGTGTCTGTGGTTCATAAGAAAGGAAGACCAAAGAAGACATGGAGGCGAGCGGTACAAGCGGAAATTGAAAAGGCGAGGACATCATGGAAACAGCAAAAAAAGGACGCCCAGGACAGGCTTTGCTGGAGAAATGTTGTTGATGGCCTATGCTCCAATAGGAGTTAAAAAGGGCAAGAGAGAGAGAGAGTGTCAGTGGTGAGGCGCTTCACCATCGGGCGCAGGAGATCCCAGTTTGATTCCTTAAAGGGGAAAATTATAATTGAGTATCTAAAACTTTCTACTGGGATGTTGTATCCCTCTCATCTCGGGTTGGTCCTAACTGGCAGGGTCAAAGCCTGACTCCTAAACAATCTAAATTGTGTCAATGGGGGAGTTAAAAAACCTACCAAACACCTATCAAAAAAAAAAAGACACAGCTCATACTTATTATATCAATATAAAACAGCATGTTGTATTCACTGTCAAGGGCCTGAGATTCATGAAGAAATGCCTAACATAAACGGCACAAAAACCACGGAGAACCAGCTCCTAGGTCATGTACGGTAGACAAGAAATTTCCTACATCTTAACGCCTCCACACAGGAGAAAACAATTTGCACACACAGGCCTATAGTATCTAACATCTACATGAGTACATGGCATACAATGCATTTTTAAGAATAAAAAAGACTGACTTTCCTGAGGGAAAGTAGACGAATACTGCGGTTAGAATGATTGAGATTCTTGATGTTATTCATTTTGATAAAATCATATAAATATATAATTGAAATAAAAGGATCCTGTACAAAAGAACAATAACAATTAGCCACATATATATATATTATTATATGATATATAGGGGCCTATGCGCTTGAGTATATATGTAGGTAAAGTCCCTTCTCCCTCCATCGCAAAAAAGGGTCCGGCTAAGAATAGCTCAGGTAGCAACGATCATTGTGGATAAAATAATGTAATATTTGTGTTTCCCAACTTCAGTTCCACTGATCTTAGTCACACTTTATAAATCTGAGACATCTTCAAAAGCATGTTTAACATTTTACATACTCTGTTTTTCACTTAGGCGCAAAGCGTTCCCAAAACAGCAAATGTAGTCGTCAGCTGGGACTAGTTTTCCTCCACAGCACTCGTGTTCAACCTTCTCCGCATCCGATTTATTCCATGTGTCGCCATATTTGTTCCGTACTTGGTCGCCGCAACAAATGTTGTCTTTCGTTGAGTAGATTGTCCTCCCTGGGGAAAGGTGCAAACAACAATTTGTCGTTGAAGCAAAAATAGCAAAAATGAAAGTCATAAAAAGTTGTTTAGTCAAAAACAAAGCTTCTCTTAGGCTGGCTGTAACGTTTTTCTTTAGAAATTAAATTAAAAGATGTTATGGTATAGATAATTTTATATTACATAGGGAAAACATAGACGAAATAAAGAACTCGAAATCAAGGAAAATTAGCTAAACAAACCCACCTCATTCAGAATTATATTAGCTGCAGAAAAAAAGGAAGGAAGTAAAGACCTAATGCTTTTTTAAAAAGCTATTAAACTTATCAAAATGTGATTAGGGCCTATAATATTTGATAGTCACATCTGGGGTCCAAGATATTGGAATCAACTGGTCGCCTTTAAAGACAAGCAGGCTAACCCAGATTTCGGGGTTTTTCAGAAATCTTGACCTACACCAGAAGTGGGCATTGCCCTACCTGTAGGAGAAGTTTGGTTTCATTGGCATGTATATTTGTTTTGAATATAGAAAAAAACCCTCCTTGTCTTTTAAAGAAACTGAACAAGGGGCCAAAACTTTACCTTCATTTTTCTCAAAACAGCATTTTTCGGGATAAAAGCCCCCTTGTGCTTAAAAGCGACCAACTAACATCATTACAGAAATGGTATGCTTATGTTCCACCTTTGCAGTTAATGCAGTAAAAGTCTAGTTGAGGTCTCCCTTCACAACTTACTAGACCTACTACACACGTTGGGGGTGATCTCCACTCTCTGTGGGGCCAACATATGTCTGTAACCATGACAACGTCATCCGCAAAAAAAGATGATTGGAACTTATTTTAAGAATAGAGATCTTGACCAGACCTTAATGATAATGCTTAAGCTTAAATCCACAGCTGATTAAAAATTAGCAAATTTAAACGTACAGAAAATTATTTCTTAACAACCTCAAATAACTAAGAACTATTATAATACGAAAGAAGTTGAAGGAACAATTAATATGACTGAGTGATGTGCTTCAAAGTTTTTTCTTTGACTTTATTCACTTTCGATTATTTTTTCCAAAAGTTTTAAATCATCATTTTAATAATTTACCACCCATGCAGCGAAAGAGTTTCCATATTTAATCATTTCTACTCGAAAGAAAAAATATGACCTACATTACAATATTTATGAATCCAAAGATTACAGTGCTGAGAGTCAAACCAAGATCATGTTTCGTTTTAGTAGAGGTTTTACGGCGCTCACAACTGCATAAGGTCACATGAGCGCCAGAAGATTTGAGGTGTTACAAGGGAGTAACAAACATAAAAAAGAAGAAGGGGAGATAAGGACAATAGACATTTGATAGGAAAGAAGAAGCAAACCACACCCGAGCACCCACCAACCACCCACCAAGATCATGTCACAGTAGGTATTATTTATATTGCCCATTTGAGGTATTTGTAGATCAAAACAATAGGAAAGAAAACAAGTCGGGCCAAAGACAAAGGAAAAAATATGCTCGAAAGTCAGTCTTATTGTATCGTGTACGTATGGTGTTATCGGGGGG